AAATCTTAGCTGGACCTGATGGCATGCACTTGTAGTCTCAGCTACTTAGAAGGCTGAGGCAAAAAGATCCAGAAGTTGAGGCCAGCTTGTCCTCAAACATAACAGACCCATATTAAAGAAAAAGAAAAAAAAGCTTGGGAATGGTGGTTTGCACCTGCAATACAATACAAAAATACAAATACTCAGCAAGCAAAAGCAGGAGGATTAAGAGTTTAAGAAGTGAGGGAAGGGGATAAGGCGTGCTGATATTCAACAGTAGCCATAGATATGATGTAGGTAGAAGGATCATGGTCCAAGGCCAGCCCCCAGGCAAAAAATACAAGACTAGGGTGGGTAGAAAGTGACTAAAGCACAAAATAGGGCTTAAATGGTAGAGCAACTGCCTAGCAAGCACCAGGCCCTAAGCTCAAATGCTAGTACAAAAAACTACAACTGGGGCTGGGAAGGTGGTTCAGTGGTAGAATGCTTGCCTTGCATGCATGAGGCCCTGGGTTTGATTCCTCAGCACCACATAAGCAGAAAAAGCTGGAAGTGTGGCTGAGGCTCAAGTGGTAGGGTATTAGTCTACAGCTGAAGAGCTGAGGGACAGCATCCAGGCCCAGAGTACAGGCCCCACAACCTACAAAAACAAAAACAAAACTACAACCAAAAAAAAACCCCACCAAGCCGGGCGCTGGTGGCTCACGCCACCAGCTACTCAGGAGGCTGAGATCTGAGGATCGTGGTTCAAAGCCAGACGAGGCAGGAGAGACTGTGAGACTCCTAACCACCAGAAAACCGGAAGTGGCACTGTAGAGCTCAAGTGGTAGAGCGCTCGCCTTGAGCTGAAGAGCTGAGGGACAGCGCCCAGGCCCAGAGTTCAAGCCCCACGACCAACCAAAAAAAAAAACCCACCAGCCTGAGTTCAGAATCAGCCTATGTAGAAAGACCTTACCTTAAAACAAAAATAAAAAGACGAGGGAGTCTTTACCCATTTCCTGCATAGGAAATAGGAAATGCTTCTTCTCTTACTCTATTAACTCTGTAAATCCTTGTTAAAACTTAAAAAAAAAAGTTTAATGTTTAGATCTGGGCAGCAGGAGCTCACACATATAATCCTAGCAACTCAGGAGGTTGAGACCTGAGAATTGTGGTTCAAAGCCAACCAGGAAGGAAAATCAATGAGGCTTTTATTTCCCATTAACACCACACACACACACACACACACACACACACACACACACACACGTGCGTGCGAGCACACATGCGCACGCCTGCGCGCGTGCGCGTCAGAAGCTGTAACACAAAAGCTCAAGGATAGTACCAAAGCTCTAAGTTCAAATTCCAGGACAAGAGACAGACAGAGACAGAGAGACAGAGGGAGAGAAATACAGAGACAGAAAGAGAGAGACATGGGGGGGTTTCAATGAAGTAGAATGTAAGTCAGTGGTAAAGTACTTGCCTAGCATGTATAAAGCTTTGTGTTCAAGGGCTGAGAAGGTGGCTCAGTGGTAGAGTGCTTGCCTCACATGCATGAGGCCCTCGTTTCAATTCCTCAGCACCACATAAACAGAATAAGCCAAAAGTGGCCCTGTGGTTCAAGTGGTAGAGAGCTGGCCTTGATCTGAAGAGCTGAGGGACAGTGCCCAAGCTGAGTTCAGGCCCCATGACCCACACACACACACACACACACACACACACAAATGGTTTTGCCGGGCGCTGATGGCTCACGCCTGCAATCCTAGCTACTCAGGAGGCTGAGATCTGAGGATCGCGGTTCAAAGCCAGCCCGGGCAGGAGAGACCGTGAGACTCCTATCTCCAATAAACCACCAGAAAACCGGAAGTGGCGCTGTAGCTCAAGTGGTAGAGCACTCACCTTAAGCTGAAGAGCAGAGGGACAGCGCCCAGGCCCAGAGTTCAAGCCCCACGACCGACAAAAAAAAAAAAAATGGTTTTGTGTTCAGTCCTCAGCACTAAAAGGAATACTGATTAAAAGCATACTATTGCCAGGCACCAAAGGCTCAAACTTGTAATCCTACACTGCTCAAGTAGCTGAGATCTGAGGATCACAGTTTGAGGCCAGCCCTGGCAGGAAAGTCTGTGAGACTTATCTCCAATTAATTACCATAAAAGCCAAAAGTAGCCAGGTGCCAGTGGCTCACACTTGTAATCCTAGCTACTCAGGAGGCTGAGATTTGAGGATCGCAATTCAAAGCCAGCCCAGGCAGGAAAGTCCGTGAGACTCTTATCTCCAATTAACTACCAAAAAACAGGAAGTGGCGCTGGGGCTCAAGTGGTAGAGTCCTCGCCTTGAGCTGAAGAACTGAGGGACAGTGCCCAGGCCCAAAAGAAAGGTGGGGGAGGGAAGGGGGGTGAAGAGGGGAGAGGAGGAGGAAGAAAAAGAAGGAAGGAAGGGAAGGAGGGAGAGAGGGAGCCAATAAAAATAAGGACTGCCAGTTCAAAGCCAATTGGGAAGAAAGAGAGAGAGAAAAAAGATGCTGTATGTAAGATGCTCGTAGAAAAAAAATGCTCTATGGAAGATGTCAGATAAGGGCACCTCATCGTGAGAGACTCAAAGATTTCCCAGAGGAATACTTTTCACTAACCATAGCAGAAAGGATGGGAGAGATAGAGAATTATAAAAGGATGACATTGATCAAGATGTATTATACTCAAGCTCACGCCTTAATCCTAGCTACTCAAGAGGCTGAGATCTGAGGATCATGGTTGGAAGGCAGCCCAAGCAAGAAACTGTGAAACTCCTATCTCCAATAAACTACTCAAAAAAGTCAGAAGTGGTGCTGTGGCTCAAGTGGCAAAGTGCTCAACTTAAGCAAAAGAAGCTCAGGGACAAACTGAGTTCAAGCCTTAGGACCAGCCAAAAAAAAAAAAGGGATACACCGACATGTTGATTGAACTGAAACACCTCGGTAAAACTACTTTAAAAAATGATAAATTTAGCACAAGGAAGAAGATATACAATGATATTTTATGTTTGCTTGTTTACTTGCTTTTCTTTTTTTTTGGCAGTAATGGGGTTTGAACTCAGGGCCTCTAACTTGAGCCATACCCAAGCCCTGTAACATTGTGTATTTTTTTGTTTTGTGTGTTTGTCAGTTCTAGGATTGAACTCAAAGGCCTGTGTGCTGTCCCTGAGCTTTTTTGCTCAATAAAAGCATTCTACCACTTGACTACTTCTGGCTGGTTCTGGTATTTAATTGGTGATAAGAGTCTCACTGAACCTTGATTCTCAGATCTCAGCTTCCTGAGTAGCTAGGATTACAGGTGTTATCCACCAGCGCCAGGTTTGCAATGGTTTTTGATAATGAAAAGTTTCATGTGATAGCTCTAGTTCCTCTTGAGAAGTGGCGATCTTCCACAAGTGCTGCGGTAGAGGAAATTAAGTTATGACAAGAAGATTTTAAAGTGATTTTGAATAGGATGGGTTTGCTAAGTAGAATAAATTTAGACAGAATAAATGACATAAGCTCCACGAGCAGGGAGCTTTGTCTATTTTGATTACTGATGTTTCCCAAGAACCTAGTAGTACCTAACACACAATGTGCACTTTTTAAATTTAAGAATGAATGCTTTTTTTTGGGGGGGGGGGGGTTAGTCGTGACGCTTGAACTCTGAGCCTGAGCGGGGTCCCTCAGCTCTTCAACTCAAGGCGAGTGCTCTATCATTTGAGCTACAGCACCACTTCCGGTTTTCTAGTGGTTGTGTATTTTTTTTTTTTTTTTGGGTCCGGTAGAGGGCCTGAACTCTGGGCCTGGGCACTGTCCCTCAGCTCTTCAGCTCAAGGATAATGCTCTACCACTTGAGGCACAGCGCCACTTCCGGCTTTTTTTTTTCGGCTTATGTGGTGCTGAGGAATCGAACCCAGGGCCTCATGCATGCAAGGCAAGCGCTCTACCACTGAGCTACCTTCCCAGCCCTCTAGTGGTTTATTGGAGATAGTTTCACAGACTTTCCTGCCAGGGCTGGCTTTGAACCGTGGTCCTCAGATCTCAGCCTCCTGAGTAACTAGGATTACAGGCGTGAGCCACCAGCGCCCAGCAAGAATGAATGCCTTTCAAGTGATGGGGAAGCTGACCACTATAATTGTAGACTATTAGTTTATGGTAGCACCAACTTATATGTGATATGATGTGTGTGGCGGGGGGGGGGGGGCAGGGGTACTAGGGTTTGAACTCAAGGACTTACATTTGTAAGGTGGACACTCTACCACTGAGCCAAACCTCTACCACCACCCTCTTTTTGCACTGGTTATTTTTGAGATAAGGTCTCACTTTCTGCCCCAGCGTGTACCTGGATCCACCCATTTACAATTCCTACTGAGTCAGGATGGGTACATACCACTATGATTAGCTATTGGTTGAGAAAGGGGTCTCTCAAACATTTTGCCTGCGCTGACCTCAAACTGACATCCTTCCTACCTCAGCCTCTCAAGTAGTGGGGATTATAGGCATGAGTCACCAGCACCCAGTTCATAGCAGTATGGCTAAGCTGCTTACTAAAGGGTAGATAAGGGGCTGGGAAGTTGGCTCAGTGGTAGAGCTCTTGCCTTGCATGCCTGAGGCCCTGGGTTCGATTCCTCAGCACCACATAAGCAAAAAGAAAAAAAGCCGGAAGTGGCACTGTGGCTCAGTGGTAGAGCGCTAGCCTTGAGCTGAAGAGCTGAGGGACAGCGCCCAGGCCCAGAGTTCAGGCCCCACAACCAGACCCTCCCCCCAAAAAAGAGTAGGTAAGGCAGAGACAGAGTTCAGATTTTACCAGATAGAATGATAAAAGGAGAATGAGATGAATGTGTTTAGGATGTGGACTATGTCATAAATTTGGCCCTTTTAAATCCTAGCAAGTGTGAGGCCCTAAGTTCAAACCCCAATACCCCAACACACCCACACACCCACACACACACAAGAAGAAAAAAAAGTTTAAGACCACACGCTGGACTTTATATGAAAAAGGAAAATTTTAATATAGCCTACAAAAAGCTCATATATTTTTTAATCCTTAAAACAACTTTATTTGGTAAGTGATAATATTTTGGTTTTGGGAGTAGAGATTGAATCCAGGACATCCCATTTGCTAAGTAAGTGCTCTATCACTTGAGCTCACCCCAGCCCTTTTTTTTCCCATTAACTTTATTGTTATTTTAAAGATGATGTACTGAGAGATTACTATTACGTAAGTCGGGTAATGAGTACCTTTCCATTCATACGGTGTCTTCCCTTCCCTCATCCTCCCCCAGTCCCTTCCCTCCTTCATTTTGTTTTTGATATGTCTCTCTACCTTTGCTCAGGCTGGCATATCTTGAACTCAAGATCAGCTTCTATCTCCAAATAGCTGGGATTACAGGTGTACACAATTATTTTCAACTAATTTATAGTATGTACCCAACTAACTTTATAATATACAATCACATAACTATATATAACTAATTATATGTAGTAAGTTTCCACTGTTAAGTAATATGACAACTATTTTATAGATAAGAAAAGTGAAGCACTGAAAGATTAAGTAGTTGGGGTTTCATAGGTAGGAAATAGCAGAAATAAGATACAGGTAGTTCAAGGCTATGCTAGGCTAAAAGGCTTAAAGAATATAATGACTAAAGAATAGTTTTGACCTCAGAAATGAAGACAATGGATTTCACTGTACAAAATGTATGTTATGAGAAAGGGCAACTTTTTTGGCCCTAAACTCAAGGAATAGGCTATTAGGCCTGGGTCTGTGTGGGGGAGGGGAGTTCTTTGTTCTGTGATGACCTCAGGATAAACTGCCACTGGGTAAAGAAAATGGAATGGCTGCTGGAGGATCTGCCTGGGACTGGAGGAGATATAGGACTTCCCTGGGGCCAGCTGACATACGTTCTGGCTTGCAGACACTGTGGCAGCAACACTTGCCTTCAGAGTCCAGGGGATCTGGTGATACTATTTTTGTTCATTGTTTGGCAGGTCCGAAGATGGTGGCAGCTTGGGAAGTGGCAACAGCTTCAGCCCTGGTGCTCTGGAGATATGATTCAAGGCAAGGTGGGTGACCAGTGAGCATGAATGTATAGTTGGATAAATGTGGACACTATAGGTATGGGATCATTGGCATAGATCTGGCCCCACATAGGTGACTAAGCTCTAGTTTTGAGGCTGTGTGTCTATATGATTTGAAACCAGGTAAGTGATCATTGTATCTAGACAGTTATGTGAAGAAATGGCTGGTCTCCAAATGAAGGCTGGGTAACCATTGGATGAAGATCTGGCTAAATGATTGATGACAACAGGTGAATCACTGTTCAATCCAGATGTACAGCAGAAACTGAGCAATTTGTGACATGCCATGTCTCTGAAAACTCTTCATGCCTGATAGTAGTGTTTTCTATTCTCCAGGGCCTACCATTTTTGTACCATTTGGCTTTCCTTAATTATTTGTGGAAGCAGAAATCAGAGGAGGAAGAGGAAGAGAGGGAAGGAGAGGAAGAATCATCTTTTGATCTACCGAAACTAAGTTCTCCTTCCAAAGAAGTTCCCAATGGAAAGCAAAGCACAATCCCACCCCAGCTGTCCTGTGGTTCTGAGAGCCTTCCCCAGGCCACAGAAACACCAGAGCGAATAACTACACAGTCCTCAAGCCCTTTTAGATCCTACCCTACCATCCAGATTCTGACCAACTTCCCAGTGAGGAACAAGACATCAGCAGGGAGCTACCTGCAGCAGAAAAGCCAGCTCTTCTGGGGTTTTCCCTCTCTGCATAGTGAGTCGTTGGAAACTATCTTCCTAAGCTCAGATGGTCCATCTCCCCTGAAGTTGTCTATTTGTCCTTCTGTTTTCTTCAACAAGCTTGCCTTCTTGCCTAAGTACAACTTGTCACTTCCCTATTATCACTCTCCAACCCAGTTTCCTACCCATGAAGCACATACTATGGAAGATCTGGAAGAAATGGCCCATAATTCTCAGCTAGTTTCATCTCCATCTACCCCAACATTATCTCTCCATAATTTTAAGCCCTTACCTATGGACCCCAAGAGGGTCCTATTTGGTGCTGAGGCAGACATACACTGGCTTATACAGCAGAAAGAGGTTTCTTGGGTCTCTGAGGATCAAGCCCTGCACCTAGAGCCTAAACTCCAAAGAATCATACCCTCTACACCTCTATCTTCATTTGAGGCTTACTGGAGTATACCACGGGACCCTAGCCTGCACCAAAACAATCCAGGATCACCTTCTGCCTCTCTGATGTATCCCTCTATCCCTCTGGGAACCCAGGCTAGGTTTGAGACCTCATGGAAGACCATAGGGCAAAATGAGCACCTGAAAATTTCTGAGCCAGCAATACTAGCACCCCCAGCTTCCCTACCAGAATTTCAGAGAGTCGATCCTAAAGAAAATATGTCTGTATCTAAGACCATCCAGGAAACCACAGAGCAAAAAGAGAAAACTCTGATCTTTGGGACCCCAATCCTGGCTCCTTGTCAACCCATAGTAGCCATGACAGAACCTCAAGGAACTAGCCCTCCTGTTTACAAAGCTCAGCTGGGAACCATGGGACCAACTAGTGAGAGCCCCCAAGTTTCTAAGCCCCTAACGCCCATCTCTTGCCAACCCCCAGTGTATCTGTCAGAATCCCAAAAAGCTAACCCTAGAGAACTTTCTGCTTCTAAAGACTTCTGGGAAACCATAGAATACCGAGAGAGCCCTCAGGTTTCTATGTCTCCAATACCAGCCCCAACCCTTCCTCTAGACTCTCTGTTAGAACTCCAGAAGAGTCTCCTAGAAGATCCATCTGGAGATGACCTTTGGTGGGAATGCAGAGAAAACTCAGGAACCCTCTGGACCTTTGAACCCCAAGCCTTGGATCTCAACACAAGTGTCTATGAAACTAGCCTTGTATGTGTCCCATCAGTATCTGCAACTTCACAGAAGGGAACACAGAGTAGAGAAAATGTTTGGGTCTCTGTAGAACCAGTTTCATCTACCAGCCTTCCTTCAGACTCTCTGTTGAAGTTTCTAGGAGTAGGTTCCCAGGAAGACCTGTCAGAGTCCAAAGCTTTGTGGAAGACCAAGGAGCAGAGAGAGAACCTCTGTGTGTATGACTTCACAGACTCTACCCAGAGAACACCTGTAGCCCCCTTTATAGAAACTAAATTGAAAGGTAATAAGCATTCCAGGAATTCCTGGGCTTCTGAATCCCCATCTCAGACACTCAGCCTACCATGTGCTCTTGCATTAGAGTCCCTCAGAGTTAGCCCCATGGTGATCCTGTTTGATTCTAATGCTAAGTATATGGATATACAAACAAGAACAAACTCCAGGGCCTCTAAGGTTCTAGCACACAGCTTACCCCAAGAGCTCTATGGAGCCAGCCACATAAGAGCTGGGTCTGACTCTGAGCCTGTTGGGAAAGATAAGGAACAGAGAGAAAACTATCATGTTCTTATGTCTCCCAACCAACCCTCAAATTCTATTTCAAAGTCCCACATAAGTGAGCCTTTTGGAGACCAGTCCAACTATAAACCTGAAGGGAACACAGTGAAGCAGACAAAGAACTGCTGGGCCACTGACCAACAAGCCCCCAGCTCACTGTCAGCAACTCCATTAAAGCTACACACTGACCGTAAGTTTGTGCAAGAAAGAGAGGTCCCCCAAGATCCCAGCCTCCCATTATTGAATAACTTGTGTTCAATATCCTGGCCTCCAACCCTAACCAAAGCTCTGAAGAGTGAGCCCACTGAGCTTGAAGTATGGAAAGGAAAGATATTCTCAGAAACTAAGGCAAAGGCCCTATCCTCCCAGGGAGAGGCTGTCCTAGAGGTGCTCACCCATCCTGGGATCCATGTCTGGCAATGGAGTAGAGAACTGGAGTGCAGGCTAAAGAGACTGCACCAGAGCCCTTTCAAATCTTCTAGCCCAAATCAGCCATGTTGCAGCTTCCCTACCCTGAGCTCCACTACTCCAGATTCTTCAGAATCCTCTTTCTATCACCCACAGATCAGGCGTCTTAATCTGCACTATTCGAGTTGTCATCCCCCCAAAATTCAGAGTACAGTACTTCAGCCTGTAGAAGTCCCCCATTGTCATCACTCCCACTCTTCCCAACTTCAGCTACAGGCTCCTGACCAGGGCAAAGCAAGAGTCTCAGAAAAAAGAATTAAAGGGAAGATGGTGACTCAAGTCCCAGCTCAGGGGCCAAGTGTTCACATAGAGGCTGATAAGAACAATCCAGGCCTGAGAGAGTCCTCTAACACTGGAGGTCCAGCCTCAGACAAAAGACAGAACCAAGTTTCAGCTCTATCTTTAGCCCAAAAGGCAGAGTTTCTCAGAAAACCTAAAGCAGGAGAATATGGAGGAGAGAAGGCAAGATTGGGCTTACGTAAAGTCATAGGGAAGAGTCACTCTTCCCAAGCCTGTAGGGTAACAGAGGCTCCTGAGAACAGATTTTCCCAAAGGTCTCAGCACAGAGATCAGGGCTCTCCTCACACTGCCCTGCCTCAGTATCTTGTCCTCAAGGATGCAAATCCCCAGAATAAGCGGAAGGCAGGTTTGGTAACTGGTGGTATCGAGAACTCTCACCACTGTAAGCATTGTCCTTGGGCCCACACAGAAAAGCATCTCCCAAGTTCCATATCCCAAGCTCCCCATACCAGGGGTTTCCAAAGTGTATTAGCCAAATTTCTGGGTATTCGTGGACCCCCGAGCCCAAATCCAGTCAGTAGAGAAAAGACTAGTAGTACTGGCACCTAGTATCACATGATTTGAGCTAAACCAGGTGAGGGATAAGAAACAGAAAAATTCCTAATAAAGAAGCTGAACCAGACAAATACAACTAGACCAGTGTCTTCTTTGGAGTCTAGGTACTAGGATATCAGTTCCCTATTAGCTTCTAACGATATCTCTTGAGGATCAAAGTGAGGCTCAGTGCTGCCCTTAAGAAGCAAAGACTTCATACCAAGTAACAGAAAAATGTCCACTCTGAACATCTAGTCTGGGTCTAGACAGCTATTCTTAGTCCTGGATATGATCTCCCTTCTTCATCCATTTGATCCACAAATCCTCCAATATCTTTCTGACCATTTCTTCTCAAGCCTGTTCTTTTTTCTCTGAGTTAGCTCATCCATCTCCAGTGCTTTTTCACTCACAGCCTTTACCAATTTTCCTACCGTAGTTTTAGATACTAAACTGTTGTTTAGAAACCACTGGAGTACTATAAAATAGTATGAATTTGTGGAACAGTTGACACATCTATGGAAAATGACTTATGTATATGGGAGGGGGAAAGTAAAGGAAAGGGTAAAATTGTCCAAACAAACAGGGAGAAATGTACTCATTACCTGACTTATGTAATGGTAAACCCCTCTGTACAACACATTAATAGTTAACATTAAAAACAAAGTTCCCCTAGCATCTGTTAGACCACACCTTGTAACTGATTCAACAGTGTGTACAATGATAAGCTTACAGACTGAAATGCTAAATGGACACTTCATTGTTATGCTGCTAGACTAACACTTTGTATTTAGCTGATAATTTGAAAAAGTTAATTTGTGATGCCTCTAATTTGTTGCCTCCACTTTTTTTTTTTGCCAGTACTGGGGCTTTAACTCAGGGCCTCAAGCTCTCACTTCTCCATTCAAGACTGGCACTCTACCACTTGAGCCACACCTCCACTTCTGGCTTTTTTTTTTTTGCAGATTAATTGGATAGTCTCTGCCTGGGTTGGCTCCAAACCAAGATCCTAGATCATCATAGTACTGACCCAGAAATACCCAAATGGTTTACTCTGATATACCTATTGAGTAGATTATCTATACATGTATTTGGACCAAACTACGCAAGTAGAGCTCTAGAGGTATAGCACAGTGGTGAAAGTGCTTGTCTAGGATGCACAAACCCTCAAATGTATCTTTTTGCAAGCCTAGTGGGCACCTTAATCTAGTCAGGGTTAAGAGAGCTCTATCTTAAAGTCTACATCAAACAAATAAAGGTGGAGTGACATATCTCTACATATACACCTACTACATGTATCAGGCTACAGCCCCCCACCCCCACCCCTCCACCAGTGACATTAAACATGGTGAGGCAATAGGAAATAATCATACTGACATTAATCAGTAGCATACGAAGGCTTAGCCTTACTTCCAAGACTTCAACTGGCAATGACAGGCAGCCCAAAGCCCTTCCCCCAAAAAGAAGCAGCAACAGTGGCCAGGACTCAGGCTCCATTTTGACCCAACGTTTATTGTCCTTTTACAACATGTCATTTTTTTTGGTTTAGAAACTGCTTGTGATTAGTTTTCCAACAGTAACTCAAAAGCATGTAAAATAAAATCAACCTACTCTCTATATAAACACCCAGCAACTGTGGGCCCTCACCCACCTACCCAGGTTGGCTAGGAGTAAGAGAGGGCTTGGGCAGCATTGAGTGAAGTGCAGATGCTTAACTGTAGGGTAGTGGCAGAGCCCTGGTTCACACCCCAAAGGTTGCCTGCACTGTCCCAAACTACAACAGAAATGGCATAGGCCCAAAGCCCAAATCCCTGGTAATTGGTAATTCACTCTCCGCTTCCCAAATGAAAATCACTTTTATTTTATCGCTTTTGTTTTGTTTTTGCAACAGAAACCCCCTGTCCAGAGTCTGACTATAGCTGAACTGTTCAGACTGTGGAATGAAGCAGGCCACGGGCACATCCCTGGTCCCTCCTGAGCAAGTGCCCCCACCCCCAGGGAACAAGGTCCAACTAGGCCAGCTTGCTACATGCTGGCTACCGTCACTTAGCCATACAGGTCATCGTCATTGTCTTCTGTGTATACACTGCCACCTGTGCCACCTCCACTGCCCTGACTGGGGCCAGCTCCACCTTGGTTTCCTGAAGGGAATCTGTATATATGAGAACAATCAAAAATGAAGGTTAGTCTCTATAAAATTTTCACAACTACCCCTTCTAGCCTTCTTAGGACTCACACCACCTTGTCTGTACCAACTGCCCATAGAAATTGCTCATTCATTGCCCCCAACTAAATTACCTGAAGCTGCCAAATCCTCGACTTTGCTGAAGAGTCTGAGCAAACATTTCATACTTCCGAATGTCATTGTCACTGACAGAACGGCGAGCAAAGCGCATGGCTTCCTCAAAGTGATCTCTGCGGATCTCTGGCACTGGATCATCCTCTTCTACTTCCTATAAAAATGGTGAGTACAGTCCACCAAACTAGTTAGGGTGCAATATGGACTCTTACTGGTTTACCCACTGTAGGTAGCTTCTGCCTCTCCAATCAGCCTAAGTAAAGGAAGTTGTCAGAATAAACTTTCAATCATTCAGTCACTGGTCTTTGCTTTAAAACTTGCCAGGACCTGGTGACTCATGCCTATAATCCTAGCTACTCAGGAGTTCAAAGCCAGCCCAGAAAAGTCCATGAGATCTCTTCTCTAATGAAACACACACAAAAAAAGGCTGATGTGGAGCTAAGGGTCTATCCTTGTGCAAAAAACTCACAGGGAAAACATTTAGGCCCTGAGTCCAAACCCTATGACCAACACACCCACACCCACACCACATACCCACACACCCACACCCACACACACACTCACAGGGACAACACCTAGGCCCTGAGTCCAAACCCTATGACCAACACACACACACACACACACACACATCACTTGTTCAATGTGTTCTTGCTGGGTGTCATCTGTAATCCTAGCCATTAGAAAGCTAATATAGGGAGGATCAGGGTACCAGTTCAGCCAGAGCAGAAAAGTCTGCTTCATCTCAATGGAAGAAGTTCAGCTTGGTGGCATACACCTGTCATTTTGGCTTCAGTGAAAAGCAAAAAATAAAACTGGCTAGGCACCAGTGGCTCACGCTTATAATCCTAGCTACTCAGAAAGCTGAGATCTGAGGATCAATGTCTGAAGCCAGACTGGGCAGTAAAGTCCCTGTGAGACTCTTATCTCCAATGAATCACTCAAAACTGGAATTGGCACTGTGGCTCAAGTGGTAGAACAAGCCTTGAGCAAAAGAGCTCAGGGACAATGGCCAGGCCCTAAGTTCAAGCCCCACAACTGACAAAAAAAAAAAAAAAAGGGAGAGAAAAAAAATTGTGCCGGGCGCCAGTGGTTCACATGTAATCCTAGCTCCTCAGGAGGCTGAGATCTGAGGATCACAGTTCACAGCCAGCCCAGGCAGGAAACTCCATTGAGACTCTTACCCCTAATAAACCACTAAAAAACCAAAAGTGGTCCTGTGGCTCAAGTGGTAGAGTGCTCAGCTTGAGCTGAAGAGTGCAGGGAAAGCACCCGGGCCCAGAGTTCAAGCCCCACGGCTGACAAAAAAAAAAAAAAAAGGAAAAAAAAATTGGGATCCGGGTACACATCTCAAGTGATATCTCAAAAATAACCTGAGCAAGCTGGGCATCAATGGCTTATGCCTATAAGCCTAATTATTCTGGAGGCTGAAATCTGAAGACTGAAGTTCAAAGCCAGACTGGACAACAAAGTCTGTGAGCCTCTCCATCTCTAATTAATCATCAAAAAGCTAGAAGTAGAGCTATGGCTCAATCTGCTAGAGTACTAGCCTTAAGCAAGTAAGTTCAGGGGGGACAGCACCAGAGCAGAGTTCAAGCCAAGGACCAGCACATACATAACACACACACATAACACACAAAGCAAAAGAGAACTGGAAGTAAGACTCAATGGTACAATACTTAACTACTGTCAGGAAGACAAACAAATGCAACCTGTCAATGCCTAATAGAAAAGGGAATACTATAGGTACAAGATTCAATTCACATCAGTGGTTGTCCCTGATGTGTTCCCAAGAAAGAGAGACGATTCTGACTACAGTGGTCTGAGGCAACTTTTGGAAACAATAGAATTTACTCTATCTCAATTTTAGAAGTAATCACAGAAATTCCATGGAAACAATTTTAAAAGGTGCATGGGCTGGGAAGGTGGCTCAGTGGTAGGGTGCTTGCCTCGCATGTATGAGGCCCTGGGTTCGGATTCCTCATCACTACATAAGCAGAAAAAGCCAGAAGTGGCACTGTGCCTCAAGTGGTAAAGCACTAGCCTTGAGGTTAAGAGCTGAGGGACAGTGCCCAGGCCCAGAGTTCAGGCCTCACAACCGACCAAAAAAAAAAAAAAAAGGTACATCACTGCACAATAATACCTCAATAAAGCCAAAAATTTAAGGGACAGCACCCAGGCCCAGAGTTCAGGCCCCACGACCGGACCCAAAAAAAAAAAAAAAAGACAGGGATATCACTATGTAGCCTAGGCTGGTCTAAATCATGCAATCATTATGCTTCAGCTTCCCAAGTGCTGGGATTACAGATGGGTATCATCTCACCTGGCTCACATATACTCTTCTGTTATTAGTAGTACTAGGGTTTAAACTCAAAAACCTAAGGCATAGGTAGGAGCTCTAGCACTTGAGCCAGGACTCCTACCCTTTTTATTTTTCGGATAGAATCTTGCATTTTTGCATGGAGCCAGCCTCAGAGAGCTATTCTCCAACTTCAGCTTCTTGGGATGACAGGCTTGTTGTACCATTACGCATGCATTACCATGGAGACAGGATCTCAAGGCCAGGTGGGCTAGCCTTGAACAGTGGTTTCCCCCAGGTCTCCACAATCAAGATGCTGAGGTAACAGGGTTGAGTCAGGCTTCCTACCCCATACATTCTTAAATCCACCCAACTCTTTTCCATTCCTACAAGGCTACTCACAGACCATATAACGGGAAAAGG